AGGAGGAGGTGAAGTTATCTATTGCGATTATCTAGTAAATACTCATTTTGTCCTTTCTTACTAACAGAACCCCAATATGATTTGGGGTAACAACATGCCCAGCTAAAACACTATGTTCCAGCCTCTTTTGTAGTTAGGAGGGGTCATGTGACTCAACATTAGCCATGGAGAAATCAGGATGACATTTCTGGAAAGACTCTTTGAAGTGAGCTGACTTAAGCATCATGTATGCATTTGGTTCATCCCCTTTCTCTTTCTTTCCTTCGTGGAATATGGCTTTGATGTCTGGAGATGCAGCAGCTATCTTGTAACCATGAAGTGACCCTGAGGATGAAAGCCAGTGCTAAGGATGGTGGAACAGAAAGAGAGAAAGAGGTCATGAGATTGATGACATTATGGGGCCACTCCAGGACCCTGGATTGCCTACCTCTGGACTTACTTTGCATGACAGAAAAGACATCTCTTTGTCTAAGCCATTGTTATTTGGGGACTTCGTTAGTGGTAGCCAAACATAAATCTCATCCAGCAAGGCTGGAGGCTGGTGTGCATGTACGTTAGAAGGTGGAACACAGAACAAGTGCATTAGGGGTTTAAAGTTCTACACTGCTGTGACATCATCTGTAAATTGAAAAAAGTTGAGAATCAGAGCGTAGACAGCACTCTAGACACTGTGACCAGAAAATTCATTGTTCTCCTTATGAGTGTCTACATAGTGCAAACTCACTGAATGCAAATTGGTCTGATTCTTCTCTACACCTTGTTGACCTTGACAATATCTATCTCATAAAGACTGAGGTTTACATTTGACGCCATTAGCAGTTTTTATTGAAGGAGGAAAATACTCTCTTAATTCATTTCAAGAGCAATGCTGAAGACATTGATTAAAACATGAAAGGCACTTAAATAAGCATTAATTATCTCAGAAACATGCAATGTTGTGTGTTATATGTGTTCAGACTGACGGTTTTGAATCCACTAAGAGTTTAACATACCTTTTCTTCCCCCTTCACACCAAAACGTTTGGCTCTTGTGAAATACCAACACAGAACACCCTGGGCAAATGGTAAGCAAGGCTTCAATCTTTTCTTCTTTCTTTCTTTTTAACTACAGGCTAACACCATCTCCATTCATGTAGAACTCAGAAAACATGTCTCCTTGGATATGCCATAAGGTTTCTTGGTTTAACTATCCATCTTAAGATATCTAGGGCAAATAGAGAGTTGTTCATTCGTGTCTTCATCAGCATCACCAAGTATCTTTTAGAAAGTCAAAAATTGATAGAAGAAAATACTTCAGATTGCACAAATGCTCATCTGCTTTCCAATCCATTCTGTATATAATTCCTGGGGTTTGTGAGATTTAAAAAACAATTCCAGTTAAGGCCATTTATCTAGTTTTGTGGCAGCTGCAAATTCCTTTGCTCCAGAAACTATCTAATCTTCAGCCTCCCAATTATTTTCAATGGCTAGATCAATGTACTAACCACTTATCTGAAAATCCAAGTTGGCTATACTGTCAGGACTGTACAATGGGCAACTAGACAGAAGATTTACTGAGTTACAAAAAACTGTCAGCATCTTTGACATTTATTTGAAAGAAAACGGCACTTCAGCTTATTTAATATTTCAATGGTAACTTATTCATAGAAGACAGAAACGAGGGGGGGCGCATTTCAAGGGAACTGAGAGGTGTATTTTTTTCCAAGTAACATGGAAAACAGCATACAACGCCACACACAGATCTCCAGGGCAGGCAGATGGGACCATGGGAAGAAGAATTCATTTGAAAGGCTCTCTCATTTGGACACGAATATGCTAGACTCCCACAACTCAACAGGTGCTTAATTAAAAATGTAAACATCGATTTCATTGAGGCTCAGCTTCAGAACAGTTTAAGGCATTAATCAGAAAAGCATATTTGACATTTGTTCCCTTTATTCTCTTCTTTTACACGATCAAGAACCAAATGGGCTAAACAGTATTCACGTGGATGAATGAAAGGACAACCAACCTTGGACACTTTCCTTAAACAATGAACGCAAACTCCTGATACCTTCTAGCTGACTCAAAACCACAAGCCAAGGTGGAAGGGCACTGGGTTTCTGGTAAAGGGGATGATTTGTGGGCTGAGCTCAGGAAGGGGGTATCCAAGTTATGGCTCTGAGAAGCTTGGAGAAGCAGGGAGGCTCTGAGACCTGCAGAGGAACCCGTCAGCTGGCACCCTCCACAAGCCCCTGCACCCTCTGACGGCGGTCCCCGAATAGCTCAAGTTCCAGAATTGCCCTGCAGATGCCTTTGCAAGCCCCAGTGCCAGGGACACTTACTGCCAATTTTAGAAAATTCATTTTTCTTGTGGCTGAATCAGACAGGAAGGCCCAGGCCTAAGGCATAAAAGCTTAGGGGGCTTTCAAAAACCCATTCAGGTCCAGTAGGAGCCTGGCTCATGAAACAGGGTTTGCTTCTTGTTTTGAACCCCAGTCAGTAATCCTAGACACAACAGGGGAAGACCACAGTATACACTGGTGGGGGGAGGGGCGGCACTGAGCTCTGAAAGACTCTCTCTGCTACTGTGGACCAGAACAGGGATCTGGCATTTTGCTGGCACAGGGTGGGGTTATGGCATTATTCTCACAGGCTCAAATAATTACAGATGAAATGGAATAAGCAGAAATGCCTGGCCGATTCTCCCCAGGCAGAATGACATGTCATCCTGCTCTTTCGGATACAGGCTATCAGCTCCATCCAACATCCTTCCTGAGGACCAGGACATTCCAGCTAAATTCAGCCTCCGAGTGCCTGGGAGGCCAGCAGGCCCCAGAGCACTCCTGGGAGAATGAGAGCAGATGAATTTTTAAACAACAAGATGAGTGTGTATGTGTGTGTCTATGTTTGATAATGTTCCAAACTTTAATAGCATGGTAAAATATTTATCTTATTTTTATAGCCAGCATGCAATCAACTCATAACATACTGACAGAATTTAGAAAGATCAAGGTCTACTCAGCCACAGCTAGATAGAACCACTCAACATTTAAAAAAATATATATTTATCAGTTAATGGGAACTGTAGACCCATCACCAGAAGTCATTTTCCTGAGATCATGCGTACACCCCAGGGGAAGAAGGGGGCTCCTGGGAGCACAGTTGTTCATTCTACAGACTCTCCATTCTTTTCTAAGCCACAGAGGGAAGGGTTGTGAGTAGCTCTCTGGTTTGTGGTTTTAAGAAGTAAATGGTCTTAGCAAATTGGCCGATTCAAGTTAATCTCCCTCTTGAACCCTGACCAGCCTTGAATAGCCTTGATTTGTTTCACTGAAATTCCCAGTCCTCTTTTTGATAAATGATGTCCATGGGACAGGGATGAGGGTGGAGTGGAAGGTTGGTAATAAGTATTATGTAAATACTGATTATTAAAGAAAAATAAAAGATCCTTACTTTTTGGATTTTTTCATAAGGAGGTGGAAAGAAGGAGTAGTCATGTGAAATCAGCAACCACTGAATTAGACGATGTTGGGAATGGAAAGACTAAATGGGTGATGGGTATTAAGGAGGGCACGTGTTGTTATGAGCACTGGGTATTGTGTGTAAGTGATGAACCTCTGAATTCTACTCCTGAAACCAATGTTGCCTGCATGTCAACTAACTAGAATTTAAATAAAATGTGACGAAAGAAAAGTCAATGTGAATTATGCATAAAATTAAAATGACACAAAGTTAAAAAAAATGGAAAGACTCTAAAGTCCATTGTCTTCATCCTTCAGATGAAGCAACTGGGAATGGATTGAGCCACACAGGTACAGGAGTGAGGACTGACCCATCCTTGTTTTTCACTGGGGCCAACAGTCTCCCAGGGTCTCTGGGCAGCAGATGGAAGGAAGGAGGCAAAAAGCAGAGGGTTTGGGTCGTTACAGAAGGCACATTGTGGGGCTGTCACTTTTTGCTCGCAGGCAGTGCATGCAGAGAATTCCTATGTGTTGATGACCATGAGCGTGCGTGCGCGTGTGTGTGCGGCTGTGTAAGGAAGACCTCTCTCCCCCTTATAAGTTCCAAGTACAAGTAGTTAGGAGGTCCAGAACATTATCAAAGGCTACATACAATTTACCTTTCCTGTTCTCTATTCGTATATACAGTACGAGAAATAAAGATGGTTCAAAGATACCACCACGCAAGGATTCTGTGGTTATTTTCAGCACAAATTATTTTTCCACCGACAAAGAATTGGCTTTATTCCAAATAAGACTTTAGGTTGTGCTTTTCTTTTTCTTTTCTCCTTTCCTTTTCGTTTATACACAATGGCAACTCTTTCTGAGGAGAAATAGCTTTTTTCCATAAATTTAAGTCACTGGGGCATCTTGTACCACTGATCAACGATCTTGTGTTTCCTATGGTTGTGAGGGGCACCATTGTGATTCTGAACTTGAATTTATCATCTGGATAGAAGGAAGGACAGGGCCTGCTGAGCCCCTGCATCTGCTCCCAGAGTGACTTACTCCCCAGATGCTAGGCCAGCTCCCTTCTGGATGATAAATGAAGTGAATGAAGGGGTAATTTTGTTAATTCCATTCTGACTAGTGTCTGGCTAAGAATGACAATCTGCATGATCTGGGCCCAAACTTTAAGCCGGTTTCTCCTCCTCCTTTTTTGGTATCTTAGTAGGACCGCAGGTGGCCCTTTCTGACCCCTGGGGATACATGAACACACATAGATGGCCCCACAGTGGCCCTCGTCCCTGCACACCCTCTCCCCGCCATCGACTAACCACTGTGTGGCATTCTGTGAATGTGGGGCAAAGTCTGTAGAAAAGCTACCCTCTTACCTGAGAAGTCATCCTGTAAAAAACAAAACAAAACCAAACCCAAAACCACCCCAATTCAAATATTTTACTTTTGGCTCTTGTGAGACCATTCCTTGCTAGGGAATACTTCAATATAAGCAAACTCTCCACAGGCCATCCAGATGGCTGCGTCGTCACGGAAGTTGTTAAGGATAACTGTACGCGGATCCGAAAGAACAGAGGACGTCATTTTATTGGCTGTCCACAGGAGGTTTGGTCACACAAGGAGGTGGAGGCTGTGGCAGGCGTGGTACAACACAATACCTCATCTAACTACTAAACAGAAGGTTAACTGATACCGGATAGGCTAAAACCCCAGCGACCCTCTGCAGCCCGGGGCGCCACCGGCCCCTGGATAATGGAGCTGAAGAAGCCGAAGAAGCCGTTCGTCCCATCAGTCTTGGTGTGTCGCACGTCTTCCCATAAAACAGCACTTGAAGACTCACCAAATTAGAAGAAAGCAAGCAAGCAAGCGGCACTTCCGTTTGAATACCAACACCGCTGCAAACGGATGTAGCGTGGCATGCAAATCCAGAGCTGGTCTTTTTTTTTTCCCCTTAAGGTTTTTTTTTTTTTTTCATTAACAAATGGAATGGCAGGTCTATTTCAGATATTAGTAGCATAACACGTAAGTGCAATTTCAGTCTGGCCGGAAGTGTCCTCGACCTTCCGTGCGTCCATCAGGAGAGCGGCAAGCAGGCAGCAGAACATCGCCCTTTCCCCCCAGACTCTGCGGCCCCAGAGCCTCCTCTCTCCCCAGGCCCACCCCCCTCAAATTCCAAATGCCTGCAAATAGTTACTTCTTGTATTTTTGCTGTTACCAAGGCAGTCAGGCTGGGGAAGAAAATTCAACTAAAGCCAAGCTGTAGTTGGGCCCTGAAGCCCTGCCCTCCTCTGCCATGGGAGGGGGTCCGTTTACTCTGCCAGTGGTCTCTGTGCCCCAGGACTGGAGTTGTCCTCGCCACCGTGGAGCTGGGTCACGGGAAAGCTCCTGCCGTCTGCAGCCCCCAGGGCTGTGGTCACACGGAGCTGAGCTTCACCAGGCCGCGCACGGAGTCCTCATGCAGAGAGTCCTGGCTGGCCAGACCCAGGACGTGCATGGTGCGGCTGTGGGCCAGGGGGCTGCCCGCCAGCATCCGGGGCGGCGAGGGCGCTTCCTCTGGTGTCAGGAACTGGTGGCCCACGTGCTCCTCTTTCAGGGGCAGGATGTCTGTGAGCGCGGCCTCGGCGGTGAGGTTGGGCATGGAGGAGGGCGGCGTGGGCTGCCCGAGCGTCAGGCTGGCGCAGGGTGTGCCCAGGCCCGGCTTCCCGGGCAGGTGCAGCTCGTCGCTGGTGAGGCTGGGCTCGCTCTGCAGCAGGGGCGTGGCCGCGGCCTGCAAAACGAATTTGGTGCTCTGAATGCACTGGTCTTGGTCGCACTGGAGAGCAGCAGGGAGCCAGCAGAGAGAAGGTGGGGATGAGAAGGGCACAGGGTGGGGAGGGAAGGGGGTACGGGGGGGGGGCAGGGAAGGACAGGATCAAGAGAGAAAGAGAGAGACCCATTAGTGACACCTCAGTCAGACAGGGAAGAGAGCCTGCACAGCCGCCCGGTTTCATCCGGAGCCGCCCAGCACAGAAGTGGTGAGTGCAAACACCCGGCATCTAAATACGCCTCCACTGAGAGTACTGACCCCCGCAGCCGCCCAGGGAGTTACATGCAGCCAGAGGCTGCCATGCACCCGGTCCCTGTTGGCAGACACAAGCCTGCGGATAGAGTCACAGGCTCTACCACCTGGAGCAGTCTGAAGTGGCTGTCTTTCAGACGCTGAAAACCACTTTTTCTCTATTGTTTTAAAAACATAGTGGCCTGGAGACCTAGTTCACCGCAGCCTGATTCACAAGAGCCACAGCCCAAAGGCAGAAGCAACAGTCCATCAAAGGATGAATGAACAAAATGTGGGATGAACAACGGACCACTACTGAGACATAAAAAGGAAGGAAATCCTAACACACACTCCGACACAGATGAACCCTGGGGACGTCACACTAAGTGAAGTAAGTCGGTCACAAATGGGCAAATATTCTACGTTTCCACTTACAGTAGTACCTACGGCAGTTACCTTTGTAAAAACAGAGAGTAGAGAGAAGGGCGGTTGTGGGGGGGGGGGGAAGGGTGGGGGAGGGAGCTGGTGTTCACGGGGACAGAGTCCCAGGTTTGAGAGATGAAGGGTCCTGGAGATGGAGGGTAGTGATCTTTGCACAACAATGTGAGGGTACTTATTGCCACTGAACTATACGATTAAAAATGGTTAAAGTGGTAAATTGTACGTTCTGTATATTTTACTACAAAAAGAAAGAAAGAGAAGCTCCTCGGTGTCTGGGCAGACTGTTCACAAAGCCCTAGAATTCCCCAATGCTAACTTTCCATCAGCTTCAAGAACCATTAATTGAGCTTCTGTGGCTTTTTATTTTTAATCTGTGAAAGAAAATGCCAACATTTTACAAGAGACTTCCTTCTCTCCTCAGCGTTCTTACATCGTATTATACCTCGTGTCCTTTGCCTCCCTCACTGGGCAAAGGAAATGGTGTGAACACACTTTTGGCACACTTTTGGCCAATCGAATGTGAATCTCTGGTCCTCTGTAAACCCTCCCTTGACCATGGGGGCAGGTTTCAGATCATCCAGAAGAGATTTCGATGGCATGCAGACACCTTGAACTTGAGCATGTGTAGTAACTCCTCAGAGAGTTTCAGGAACCATTCTTCCATGGGAAGGAGGGAGAATCGGTGTGAGGCAAACCCGGGGCTGAGTTTGCCTGACTACAAATCTCTTTCTACTACTGCATGTGACACATAGTAGGTGCTTAATAAATGTTCCTTGTCTTATTATCCTCTCTTCTCTTTTTCAGAACCCCTGAGTTACTGTAGAATCTGTGCTAATGGGTTTGCAAAGGAGGTGCCTCACTTCCTGCCAAGGGGACACTCAGGACTGCTGTCACTCACCCACCTCCAGGAAGGGAACAGCCCACACCATGCACCACGTGGCCTTTAGGGAGGAGAGAGAATTCATCAGAAGTTCTGACTCCTTAGGCTTTTCTTTCATTTGCTCCTGTGTGTATAATGGGTGTCTTTCTACAATCACAAGTGGTACCCCCCTGCCCAGAGGAGGAAAAGGAAGAGCTGTAGTCTCTTATGAACTCACAGGCTTTAGAGGGCAAAAGACCTTGATTCCGGGCAAGAGTAGAGCTCTTTAAAGAAGGAAAGCCAGGGGTGCCTGGGTGGCTCAGTTGGTTAAGCGTCCGCCTTTGGCTCAGGTCATGGTCTCATGGTTTGTGGGTTTGAGCCCTGCACTGGGCTCTGTGCTGACAGCTAGCTCAGAGCCTGGAGCCTGTTTCAGATTCTGTATCTCCCTCTCTCTCTGACCCTCTCCTGCTCATGCTGTCTCTATCTCTCTCTCTCAAAAATAAATAAATAAAAACATTAAAACAAATTTAAAAAAAGGAAGGAAAGCCAGTCCCCTGGGAGACCCTCATTTTTTTTCTTCTTCTAAATATAATTTTTTATCAAGTTGGCTAACATACAGCATATACAGTGTGCTCTTGGTTTCAGGAGTAGTTTCCCATGATTCATCGCTTACGTACAACACCCAGTGCTCATCCCAACAAGTGCCCTCCTCAATGCCCGTCTCCCACTTTCCCCTCTCCCCCACGCCCCCATCACCTTCCGTTTGTCTCTGTCTTTAAAAGTCTCTTATGGTTTGCCTCCCTCTCTGTTTGAAACTATTTTTTCCCCTTCCCTTCCCCCATGGTCTTCTATTAAGTTTCTCAAATTCCACAAAGGACTGAAAACATATCTTTCTCGGACTTATTTCACTTAGCATAATGTCCTCCAGTTCCATCCACATTGTTGCCAATGGCAAGATTTCATTCTTTCTCATTGCCAAGTAGTGGTCCGTGGTAAGGAGACCCTCACTTTTCTCTTGGCCTTCATCTCAGTCCAGGGAGCTCAGCAACACCCAGAGCCTGGGGCCTGGGCTGGAAGGCCGGTCACATCTGTACTCCCTATACTCATCTTCCCAAGCACAACTATGTGGTTTTGCCACAAGGGTGTTTTCCCACGAGGCTGCTCTCGCAGGGGGTTTCAGCTTGGCGTGGAGGGGCTTTCTGGTGGGAAGTGCAGAGGTGCACACGGGGGCTGCGGGCAGGCTGGGCCATGCTCTCCAGTACTGTCCATTTGGTCCAGCACATCAGCTTCGTCTTGACAGGGCAGAGGCGGGGAAGAGCAACTTTCTGATGAATCATATTCATCTTCTGCAAACTGATCCAGGGCTTTGGATATATTGTGCTTTGCAAAGAACGTTTTGTGAAAATCACCACTTGGTATTCCTACGGACAGCTGAGCTCCCACACTGCCTCCATTTCCTGGGGCTCAGTGCAGGCTGTGCGCAGGCCGGCCGGCAACCCCAGAGCCCAGCCCAGAGCTGCAGACAGCAGGCCCTCTTCTGGGCTCTGGAATCTTGTTCTCAGTCCTCCCTCCTGGAGCCCTCGCTATTCCTCATACCTTCTGCCTATACAGTACCCTCAGCTCTGAGGAAAGATAAAACTGCAAATCAGATTTGCTTGTCTCTGTTGACCTGCAGGAGGCCTTTTTTTTTTTTTTTTTAATTGAAACCTAATTGGCAAATTCTATTTTAGGGATCAGTGCAAGACAGACTCTTATAGGCTCAGGTATTCTGTTAGAGGGCAGAGCTGGAGATTTTCAAGGTCAGGGGTGCAGGCAAGAGGAGAGGGTTGCCCCCGCATTCCTCCTCTCTCCAGGTCACTGTCCATTTCCTCCTCCCTGATCACACTCCTCCAGCCATGCCCACAGCAGGACCCAGGGGCGGGCCCCCTCCAGAACTTCCGGAGGTGAAGTGGGGCTGAACGTGTCTTCCGAGGCCTTACACTAACATCACTGCTGACTCCAACAAGCCTGCGCGTACCTGGGGTGGGCTTACTCTGAAACCATGAGGCTTAGGATAGGGCCCCTCCAAGGCCTGGTTCCAAGGCCTGGTTCCTGCATGCTGTTTTCTTTCTTATAAAGAGAAAGCCCCCTCCAAACCTGGGGCCACTCCTGTGTACACCTATTGGCATTTTCCTGTGGCCAAACTGGCAACTTGTTAAAACAGTAACAAATCCATGCTCAGCCTCCCAGCTGACTGTTGAAAATGCTGTCCAGTTTACCAGGGGTGAAGCCTAGGGACTTAAATACATGGAAGTAAATTTAGCCTAAACCATTTAATTAAAAAAAAAACTAAATATAAGTCATCCAGAAATATTTTCAAAATGATTATTCTGAACTCTGACTTGTGTTAATGGACTTCAAGCACCTCCTCTATAGAGTTCTTTAAACATTTTAAAAGAGGACTGTCTTTCTGAGTATAGTTACGGAGTTTCCTTTGTTCTAGGGAAATGCGGTTTCACATTAATAATTAACTTACTCTTTGTCCTGCACCACTCCCCACCGGTTTAACCTGTGGTGGTGATATCAGTGAGCACAGTTACTGGGACCATGAACCTAAGTGTCTAAATCCTGCTGCACCCATAACTTTGAAGATAATTTGCCACATTCAAACCGATTTTCCTCTGGATGATCAATCCATTAGGGGGTACCCAGGGACCAAGCTTTGTTCTACCGGATTTTGTCCATATAAAGCTTCCTATTGGCTCTATGGGGCTATGAATTTTTATCAGATTCCAACCACGGATAGTACAATGACTATAATTCTCATACTATTGACTTGGCATTTTGGAACATCTTCTTAGAAAAGACTCAATGATTAGGAGACATCCAAATTTGTTTAAAGCTCAGAACTTTTCCTCATTTTGCACAAATCCCCAGGAGGGTGGGTTGATAAACCTTTATGGCTGCAATCCCATTTGAGAACTTGGCTAGTATTGTCAGGTTACTGTGGAGATGACCCGTGAAAAGATGTTCGTGTTCGTACACCTCCTCCTTTTTACCTTTGCTTCTGATTCCTATTTGCCCATTTCTTGATTTTTCTACTTAATTTTCTTTCTTTCTGGCCTTCCCAATTCTCTTCTCTGCTTTCTCCTCCATCTTTTCTTTTCATGGGTTTCCCCTCCCACTTCTCTTTTTCTTCTCTCTTCACCTTTACGTCTGCCTCTTCTCCCTTTCCTCTCTTCCTCCTACCTGTTTTCTCTTAGATGCTTCCGCCACCCCCCACCTCCTTGGCTTTTCATTTGCCAAATCCTCTCTTCAACCAGTAGGGGGAGACATCACTGCTTGCTTTTTCCTCTGACAACTTGTAGCAGGGCTTATATACTCCAGCACGAATACCAAGACCCCCATCAGTGTACTATTTTATCTAACCAGTTATATAATCTTAAGAAAAACCAATAAACACATGGATATTGGGCAGTGGCAATCCCTCTACTAC